TTGTATATAATCTACCTTTTCAGAAATCGCATGACGGGTCTTGGCATAATCAATCGTTTGCGGTAAAATGTCAACACCTGAAATAAAAAACAAAGATATCCATTGTTGACTCCCATGTGCGAAGCACACAATATGAGTCTTTGCAGTTAGTTTGTATGTGTGTGTGTATGTGTGTGTGTGTATGTGTGACCGTCTGTTCCACTGCTATCTCAAGAACCATACATCAGTTTTTGATGAAACTTGGTGCATAGATGCTCTGAACTTATGCGCAGATTTGATTAGTTTTTGGTAAAAATTCGTGCATAATAATTATCTAATTTGCATGATAATTAGCTAATTTTTAGCTGTTCCATGACTGTTCCACTGATATCTAAACAACCACTCATTGAATTTTGATGAAACTTGGTACATAGATGCTCTGAACTTATGCACAGATTTTATTAGTTTTTGGTAAAAATCCGTAAATATTAATTACCTAATTTGCATAACAATTATTCAATTTTCGTTTTTTTCCACTGATACCTCAAGTACTAATCATCAGATTTCAATTAAATTTCGTACATAGATATCATAGGACACTGCACAGACTTGATAGTTTTTAGGGTAATATCAGTACATAGTAATTATCTAATTTGCATAATTAATTAATTTTCAGCTTTTGATATTTCAAGTATTACATTTCAATAAAACTTGGTACATAGATACCCAAGGAGTATACAGAGACCTGATTAGTTTCAGGGTAAATGAATGTGCTTATTAATCACCTAATTTGCATAATTAATCGATTTTCAACTTTCACACTGATATCTCAAGTACTAATCATCATATTTCAATGAAACTTTGTACATGGATGCTATAGGACAATAGACAGATCTGATTAATTGTGAGTTAAAATCTGTACATATTAATTATCTAGTTTGCATAATTAACCAATTCTAAGCTATCACACTGATATCTAAAGTACTAATTATTCCATTTCAATAAAACTTAGTACAAAGATGCTCTAGGACAATGTACAAACCTGATTAGTTTGGAATTAAAATCTGTTCATATTAATTCCTAATTAGCATAATTTCTCGGTTTTAATCACATTTCAATAAAAATTGGTACATAGATGGTCTGTTACTTTGCACGGACCTCATTAGTTTTACACCCAAATCTGTTCATATTAATTTTCTGATTTGCATATTTGGTACAAGTACAAGTAATTTCGAATTATTTTTAATGTGTCTCTAATACTCTCAGCACATGGGAGTTCTTTCTAAGCTTTCTTTGCTTTGCAATGGTAATAATAGGGAAAAATCATGGTCAATTGTTTTTTTTAAGTTTCTATCTGACAGTTTCTGCACATGTAACTAAGACAATGTATTCATTCTTTTGATAGATTGGATTTAGGAGAACAAATCTAGCTCAAAACTAGGTGAAGAGAAAATGTAACTTGCAAAGACTACCATCCCCATATAATGGTCAACCCTAAATATGACATAATTGAGACACAATTCCTCATCTTGTGTATGGTAAAATGAAAATAAAAAACATTATTGTTTTCAAATTCTAATCAGGTCTTTTGTTTCTGGTGTAATTAGTATATATGTACCAAGTTATATTCCAGTCAACTCTTAAGATACCGGAGGAAAAAGATTTGACACAGACAGATAGACAGACAGACAGACAGACAGACAGGCAGAAGTAGGATCTTTTGCTTTACACACACAGGGGCCAAAAATCAGTCGTTTCCATGGCAACAGCTAAATTATTATTTTATCATTGTAATCCTACATATGATAGGAATTCGTTTGATCAATAACAGTTTTTGAATCAAGAGATGATTTTTTTTATTTTAACTTAAAAATGCCACATTCATGTGCATTGTGCAGCACAGATTCAATATTCATGTATTCAATTATTGTACACACGTTGTATTCATCGCGTGGGTCCCACATCAGTCTAGACGCGTTGCGACGACTATGATGCATTAAATGCTATCAAAAAAACATTCAGTACACCACACTGTACATATAAACAATGTTATTTGTGTCAATGGGGTCATTGACACAGATAACATAGGTCACAGCAGTGCCGGTGCCTGCACCTAGCGTTCACGCTACCGTAAAAACGTTTCGGAATCTTAACGGAGACACTTCAATGGAATAAATCACCTAACTGAAACCCCTACTAAAGAGTTACAGCTTGTATCCAGATATTGGTAAATGACGCACTTTGGTGTGGTGATACCAAGCGTCAGTGGAATAGCGTATTGCGAGGGCAACCGCGGCCGTAATTTGCGATTGATTAATATTTTATCCAAGTTTGCGTAGCTTCGGATATAGAAAGAAATATGGTATGGTACAGGTTATCGAACCTTCACCATACCATGCGCCCTTTAACCCCAAGCTACACAAACTACTAATATTATAAATTGAGTTCCGATTTGTATGCCGCTATTTCTACTACTTTAAATTCAATTCGATTAAAGCGCGGTGGTCGTCGCGCAGCGCGTGTTCGAATTTCATGTAAATAAACAATGTATTTTACACGCGGTGTATACGTCGACTACCGCCCTTTCAACTCAATTCAATTCAATTAAGTGGAGTTGCAATTTTAATCGAGTATAATTAAACTTCAATTAATTTGCAACCCTATATAAATAAAAGTTGCGTTTTAATCGACCATAGCACAATTCGCAAATCGTAACCAAATTGCAAATCGCGGTTTAGTGGTGGTTTATAGCGTTGAATGCACGGGGTTGCATAACTTCAATGCATTACCTATCACACTGCTGACATTGTCCATTTCAGCTATCGTTTTAGTCTTTTCGCCAGATCCACAACCAACATCCAAAACGACATCTCCGTCTTTCCAGTGACCATCCAGTAAAGCTAGAGTTTGCAGTGCAACATCATGTTGGAAATGTCTGTGATTGGAATACGAGTCTACCTTACTGTAATTCATGGTTAACTGAGTCGATGGCCTATATAGTGTGACAGTAGGAAGTGACATCACAGTTCAACGGCCTACACGTTGAGGTAGAAAGTGACAGGGTTAGGGTAAACCGCGAATCAACAAACCACGAATGAAATGTGCATCACCATATACTGCAACGACTATTTTTTTCTTAATTATTACTGTCGATCATTCAGAGCAAGCATGCGCAGTTCAATATACGCCACCATTTTTAAATATTTTTTTATGATAGTAAATTTTCTTATAAACGATACTTTAAACCTCGGGCTCTAAACAAGCCTTTCACTATATGACACCTTTCACTATATGACACCTTTCACTATATGACACCTTTCACTATATGACACCTTACGCAACCCTTGAATTTCTCTCCAGGTATTACCTAATCCTGAATTATTACACCGTGTTGTATGTAATTTAATTGATATGGCGAGACTATTACAAACCAATTTTACATGCCTGGGTGACACATCAAGACTGGACACGTGCAACTGGACACATGTGCCCAAACTGGACACATGTACCTAGATGACACTCAAACTGGACACATGTGCCTATATAACACACAAACTGGACACATGTACCTAGATGACACCCAAACTGGACACATTTGCTTAGATGACACCCAAACTGGACACAATAGCCTAGATGACACTCAAACTGGACACATGTATCTAGATGACACCCAAACTGGACACATGCACCTAGATGACATCCAAACTGGGCACATGTGCCTAGGTGACACTCAAACTGGACACATGTACCTAGATGACACTCAAACTGGACACATGTGCCTATATAACACACAAACTGGACACATGTGCCTAGGTGACTCCCAAACTGGACACATGTGCCTATATAACACACAAACTGGACACATGTGCCTAGATGACACCCAAACTGGACACACGTGTCTAGATGACACTCAAACTAGACACATGTGCCTATATAACACACAAACTGGACACATGTGCCTAGGTGACACCCAAACTGGACACATGTACCTAGATGACACTCAAACTGGACACATGTGCCTATATAACACACAAACTGGACACATGTACCTAGGTGACACTCAAACTGGACACATGTGCCTAGATGACACTCAAACTGGACACATGTACCTAGATGACACCCAAACTGGACACATGTATCTAGATGACACCCAAACTGGACACATGCACCTAGATGACATCCAAACTGGGCACATGTGCCTAGGTGACACTCAAACTGGACACGTGTACCTAGATGACACTCAAACTGGACACATGTACCTAGATGACACTCAAACTGGACACATGTGCCTATATAACACACAAACTGGACACATGTGCCTAGATGACACCCAAACTGGACACATGTGTCTAGATGACACTCAAACTAGACACATGTGCCTATATAACACACAAACTGGACACATGTGCCTAGGTGACACCCAAACTGGACACATGTACCTAGATGACACTCAAACTGGACACATGTGCCTATATAACACACAAACTGGACACATGTACCTAGGTGACACTCAAACTGGACACATGTGCCTAGATGACACTCAAACTGGACACATGTATCTAGATGACACCCAAACTGGACACATGCACCTAGATGACATCCAAACTGGGCACATGTGCCTAGGTGACACTCAAACTGGACACGTGTACCTAGGTGACACTCAAACTGGACACATGTGCCTAGGTGACCCCCAAACTGGACACATGTGCCTAGGTGACACTCAAACTGGACACATGTACCTAGATGACACTCAAACTGGACACATGTACCTAGATGACACTCAAACTGGACACATGTGCCTATATAACACACAAACTGGACACATGTGCCTAGGTGACTCCCAAACTGGAACACGTGTGCCTGGGTGACACCGAGACTGGTGATTCGTTGATTCGAGCTTCGTTGATTCGTGAATGCAATTTTAACATATAAGCCATTGACCTGTGATATAATTTAAATAAAGGTCATGAACTCAGTCTACCATGAACTCCTAACACAGAAATGCCCAATAAAATGTTGCTATGCAAACCCTAACTTTACTGGATGGTCACTGGAAAGACGGGGATGTCGTTTTGAATGTTGGTTGTGGGACTGGCAATGAAACGATAATGATAGTTGAAATGGACAATGTCAGCAGTGTGATAGGTAATGTTTATGCAGCGCCGTGCGCTGGCTATACGCCATTAATGCAGACATTTGGTACTATCTTATCAGGGCATGATTTTGAACAACCAACATCTGGATACACGCTGGCTCTCTCTGGTACGGGTTTCAGTCAGGTGATCAATTCCCTTGAAATCTCTCCTTTTATTTTCACAAACTCTCTTTACAATCGAGTAAACGCAACGCGTACACATAACTGTGTATATACTAGTACTGCTATTGTTGTGAATTAAGTTATCTGTATCAATGACCCCATTGACACAGATAATAGTATACTAATGCTGTGTACTGAAGGTCGTGCGTTCAAATCACGCACTAAGTGACTAGGTGAGTTCACACCGTCCCAAATAAGGTTTCAATCCAATATAATATAGAGATAAACCAGTATATCGATGGATGAGTTACGTGAATTGTAATCATATCACTGCTATGTGTGTGCCTGGTGACAGTTTTCGATATTGAGTGTCACTGTCTCTCGCTTTTTGTTATGAGATACTGTTGATATATATATATAGTTTAATTTTCCACAAAAACATATTATATACAAATGTTACAAAGATAATTTAGGTAATAAGTTATTAGGTTCACCAGTCATGATGTATTGTATTTTGTTATTTTATATATCATTAATATCTTCTAGTGAATAGTTTGCAATACTTATTATTGTGTTACCGTGCTCTTAAATAAATGTAATACAACCACCGAAAGAAAAATGGTTTCATAATACCTCCGTACACGACTATTCCTTCCGTTTTTGAGACATGTTATAATGAAGCACTCTGGGCGCACAATATCAATTCGATTAAAAATAATTATGCCCAGCACAATCACTACATACCCACCTAAATACAATATAGAGGTGCAGATGGCATTAGAACAATCTAAAAATTGAAGAATGTTAAATCATAAATATTTTACTAGTTTTTGGAACATTACATTATGCAAAACATTAATCATGTAAAGTTGGTTTTTACTATCACGTGTGGATGAAATGACCTGTTGTGTTATATAATATGTTAATTAAAACTCTAATGAACAAAAGTAGTATTAATTAATGACCATTTACATTTATGAATTCATTATTTAAAATATATTTTGAATATGTATTCGACCAGTTCAAAGGTTATGCATCCATTACCAATATTAAGGATGGCATTTGGACAGTGACTGAAAGTCGGACATCTTGATTTTTTAAGTCTTGGAGAAAAAGTAGGCAAGGTTGACAAATAGTGTAATTTGGGGTAAATATTTAGAATATCTCTAATATCTTCTTTTTATAAGGTATAATGATAATTCAATCCCATATTCACCTGAAAATAAATGTCACTGTACTTCAAGAAAAAACGGAATAGAATTAAAACACATAAGCATCGCCAAAACAAATCATAATCAAACATACGGGTATTTGCTGACACTCAGAAAATTGTATGTGATTTATTTACTAAATTAAAATTCCAAAGACAAACAAAACACAACTATATTATCGATGTTATTGATTGTATGAGCACATAATGGAATGTTTACTTTGAAAACGGAACCAGACTTCATGTCAATTGAAATCAATACTGTTATTAAGCATATTTATTAATTAATTATTAAGCATATTTATTAATTAATTATTAAGCATATTTATTAATTAATTATTAAGCATATTTATTAATTAATTATTAAGCATATTTTAGAAGTTTTCCGAGGCCATGTAACCGAGGCACATGTGTCAAGTCTTAGTGTCACCAAGATGTGATTTTTTTCAGATGTGATTTACAAATCTGTAATTATTGTAAAAGCCCAAATTTTAACACATTGCATCAAACATTCATCTGAATATTTTCTAATGATTGGGTCATTAAAGTGCTGTTCATGTTTACATTCATTCGCGCTACATTAGTACATGTAATTAGTAATGTCTCTTTCTTGTATTCGTTGTCCAGATCGTGAGTGTGCGTCTTTACGTAAAATTAAGTGAATATTGCTATAGTCAGAGGACCACCATCGGCCTAGGGAGTTGTTTTTACAAAGAACATAACTTTCAAAACATATTTTGTATAAAGAGAAAGTTGGCAAGGTATTACGCTATATGTTGCATCTTGATTGAAACAGAAAACCATTTTCCATGCGATAGTAAACTAGTGAAAAAAGCTGTACGTGTTCGATGAACGCGCTAATTTACTGAAAGATACAGGTAATTAAAAACTACTGTTTGCGGCATTTCATTGATAAATATTTCCATATTCCAGTTACAAAAAATATACACATAAAGATGCATTCACAAACAAAAATCCAAAGTTATGCACATTGCATCTTTAAATCAAGATATACACGCACAATCCGATTCCCTGGACTCTGTTTTATTGCCACGCGCTCTCTATAGGCCAATTAAAATATTTAAAATGTTAGACCCCTTCCACGATCCCCTGATGTCACCAGGCACATGTTTTGTTACCACCCACACACACACACACACACGTGTCTAGTATTTGTGTCACCCAGACACACGTGTCTAGTATTTGTGTCACCCAGACACACGTGTCTAATATTTGTGTCACCCAGACACACGTGTCTAATATTTGTGTCACCCAGACACATGTGTCCAGTATTGTAGGCGGGTGTTACATAAGGGTTGGATTTAGAAATATAATGTCACAGATGAAAGAACTGTGAAATGGTATTCCTTATGTTTGTGCACACTTGAAACAACAATGATATCTGATAGTACACACAGCTACACACAACACAATGTACATGCAGTGTGCGAGTGTGATGTCACTTCCTTTTTCAAAATGTAGGCCACGGACTCAGCATAGTATGAATTACATTAAGGTAGACTCGTACTCCAAACACAGACATGTCCAACATGATATTGCCATGCAAACCCTATCTTTACTAGATGGTCACTGGAAAGACGGGGATGTCGTTTTGGATGTTGGTTGTGGGACTGGCGACGAAACTAAACTGATCGCGGAAATGGACAATGTCAGCAGTGTGATAGGTAATGTTTATGCAGCGCCGAGCACTGACTATACGCCATTCAATGCAGACATTTGGTACTATCTTACCAGGGCATGATATTGAATAACTAACTCCTGGATACACGCTGGCTCTCTCCTTCTCCTCTCTGGTAGGGTTTGTAATAAATTCTCCATTCAGATCCAGAAATACTTTTTACGACCTAGTAAACATAAGGCCTATGATGCCTTCTTTTAATTGACCCCGCTGGCATACTATATCTATATGCATCAGTTCGTATAGTAAAGGTCGTGCGGTCACATTACTAACTACTAGTAGATGACTTTGTAATCTATCGTTTATAATTATCGCCTTCAGAATCTGCCTATTTTCACTCATGGGTTCAAAACACTTTTTTGCATGACCTCTCTTCTTTCTCGTGTTAAAATGATGTTGCCTTGCCGAAAAAAATAGATGTTGGTTGTGTGTATACGGAAACTGTTGACACTGGCAATATAACGGAAACTGATAAGATGAGCTTTTATTTACAATAACAAACACCCAAGCTGTAGAGACAACTGATTACTTTAAGCAAGTAATGCTATTGTTCACAATTGCATTTAAATGGCCAATGGAAGCCAGCTTGCTGTGCTCAGTTTTTTCCTTCCAATTTACGTCTAAAATAACATTAGTACTCCTTTTTTATCCGTTGTACTGAACGAATACACTAAAAAGTGATGTCCCGATTATTAAAAATATATGAAAATTTTACCAGATCTCCCCTGTTGCTACCTTATATAAAATACACAGACACTATTTTATAGTGCAATCGGAAGGAATCAGTCAAAAGCTACAAATTGATGGACACCCATTCACAATAGAAACACTGTATACGAATATTGTGTATTCGCATCTATTTGCATAAAAGCAATGAAACGTGGTACATGCGTGAATTAAAAAGACACTAATTATTATGTGCATATTAATAAGCTATTTTGCATCTCCAAAAGGCTGGAGTAGAGTGTGAGACGTGCATACCACTTGTAACACTTCATCTGATATGACCATGCACTATATGAGTGGTTGCGTTTCGAATATTAGTACAGTGTTCACCCGTGCAGCAAAATGCCACATATTGATTTTAACCCACTGTTTTAAACAACACTTATGAAACGGTCTCAATCCGGGTTAGTTTAGCTCAAAGACAAAGGGCTTGCCTCGATCCAAACTTCCTTTTTTTCTTTAAATTATCAAAACGATCCGCTCGACTGTAAAAATGGGGGTCAAACCATCGGCGCATACCCGTATACTCAACTATTGGAGTTTAACCCCGAGTTGAGACACTTGTGAAAAAGATTTTGAGCTTAAATCAACGCCCTCTAACGGTATACCAAATAGAATCGGCTAATTATTCTACAAGATGACATTATTCCTTTTTGGAAAAATCAGAGCATTCAGAGCACTTTTACCATGATGGATGGAATGCCACGAGGCAAGATTATGCCGTATTGTGGGCCATGGCATTTGAGAGAGGGTTTTTTTCGTTCAACAATTTAAATTAAGTCGATTTCTAACTTTCCACACATTCAACGCATGGTGGCCTGAAACACGACTTATACGATTTATACTAGTATACACATCTGTTAGGTTAATATGGAAGGTCGGTTTACCCCACTGATAATGAATATTTACAAAGCGCTCGCACCCTACATTACCCGGTACATATGAACAAGATTTCATGTATTCATTAGATAGTAATTCAGAATATTAATATTGGACCGCAAAAATATTTCATTAAAAATACAACACACGGGGCCACAGTTGATTTTCATTTTACGTCATTATTCTGCTGTGTAACTCAGTTGATAACATTCTAATTTGAAAGTGAAAACGAATGCTAAAATAACAGGGTAGCACTTCGCATTTTTGAATTCATGGCGGGTAGAAAGTTGTTCTCTTAGCTAAATTTGTGTCTCTAAATCCAATCTATCAGACTAATTACACGTTGTCATAGTGACATGCGCAGTAACTGACAGAGCGAGACCTAATGAAAAGGCAACTGATCATAAATAGTCCCCATTGCAAATAATGAATAACTTTGCCTACTATTATTTCAGGTGTTGACATTTCACCGCAAATGATTGAGTATGCGAAGACGCAACACGTGATTTCTAAAAAAGTGGAGTACATACAAGGAGATGTATGTCGACTAGTAGAAGAACATCCACAGTTAAGTAATCATTTCACAAAGGTTGTTTCATTCAGTTGTTTTAATTGGTTTGAAAATCAAAAAGACGCACTTAAAAATGTTTCCGCGTGTTTAAGTGATGGCGGTGAATGTGCAATCCATATGTCCTACAAAAGCAACCCAGTACATGATGCTAATGTGCAGATGAATCGCCATGAACAATGGAAAGACCAACTACAGGTATGGCATTTTATTTATGATCATGTTTGTTCTGACAGTCACAGGAATCACCCAGGAGTTAATTGACAAGTCACATGTATTGTAATCCACCATATTACTGCTATATGTGTGCATGGTGACATTTAATATCACTGATCATGAATCACTGTTGCTTTTTGTTATGCGTAAATTACAGAACACATATATTTCAGTTTTCCACAAAACCCACATTCCACACAGTGCTGCTAGTTCGATGTACTGGTTACATTTATATTTTGTTATTTGTCAAGGGTTTCAATGACGGACTTTATTTATATCCGGGGAGCCCCGCAGAATTTGCTGAAGTTGTAAAGACATGTGGCTTTACTGACGTCAAGTGTTATTCTGATGACGTAATAACTAAAATGCATTCGACAGAAGATATGAAAGGTAACACACGTACACATTGTCATATTGTGACAATATTTCCAACATAGCTAGAAGAATTATCTATCTATTCTATATTTTCCAGATTCCTTTAGAGCCATTCTTGGTCAGCTTAATGTTATACCACCAAATCAACACGAAGATTTCCTTCAAGACTGGCTTCATGTATTTGACAAGATTAATTCTCATGATGGTTCTGAGACCAGGATTTATAATATTCCCTCACTATTTGTTTGGGCAAGAAAGTGACTTGTTGACTAATCTATTCAAGTCTGCCCGTAAATATTTAGCAATACTTGTTATTATAATTATGCCAACAACAACAACAACAACCACCACATACCTCAAACACATTACAGAGGCGCAGATAGTATTAGAAAATTTCAAAAAATGAAATCATTATTATTTTATTAGTTTTTGCAACATTACATTACAACATAAATTATGTAAAGTTGGTTTGTTACTATCCCGTGTGGATGAAATGACCAATTCAATAACAATGTTAATTAATACGTCAATTATCATTCCAATGAAAAAAAACCATTAAATTAATTATTTTTTTCAAATATATTTTTGAATGTGTTTTCTTGTACAGTTCAAAAAGTTATGTTAAGTACATTGCAAAAGCTAAGAATGAAATTTAAACAGTGAATGAAAGTCGAACAATCATGATTTATTTTTTAAGTCTTGGAGAATAAGTAGACAACGATAACAAGTAAAGTAATGTGAGGTAAATATTTAGGATATTTTCAAGAGATATATTTAATATGATGCTATGAGAATTCAATCCTATATTCCCATGACAATGGACGTATAGAGGAATAAAATTAAAACAATTTTTTTCGTACACATAACCATTGGTCAAACAAATCATAATTAAACATTTGAGTATTTGCTAGCACTCATAAAAATCTTTGCTTAAGACTATCATGACGTATGTGATTGATTTACTAAATTCAAATTCCAAAGACAAACAAAACATATATTAAAAATGTTATTGTATGGTTACATAATGACCGTTACTACCCAGAAACAATGTTTACTTTGAAAACGAGACCAGACTTCAAGTCAATTGAAATCACTAAAAGTCACTGTTATCATTATTAAGCATATTTTATAAGTTTTCTGAGGCCATGTAACCCAGGCACATGTGTCAAGTCTTAGTGATACCAAGATGTGAATTCTTTCAGATGTGATTTACAAATCTGTAATTATTGTAAAACCCCGAATTTTTACATTTTACATCAAACATTCATCTGAATATTTTCATTAAAGTGTTGTTCATGTTTACATTCATTTGCGATAAATTAGTAATTATAAATCCAGTATTCATTGCTCAGATGGTGATTGTGCGTTGTGCGTCTTTACGTACAATGACGTAAATATTGCTAAGGTCAAAGGACCACCATTTACTGAGAGAGTTGTTTCTACAAAGAATGGAGAAAATGAAAGCCAAGGGCCTAAAAGCAGAGAAAGAGACAGTTGACAATAGCAATAAGTATTTGAAGCATGTTTACATTTTATACATTTCGCATTAAAACAGAACACCATTTTCAACAAAATACTACACATTAATAACCTAATAAAAATAGCAGTATTCGTTGGATAAAGTACACTAATTTACCTATACATACAGGTAATTGAAAACAAAATATTTCAATGTTCCAAGTTGCAGCCAGCACATTTTGTTTTTACACATGGTTTACATAGATCATAAACAAATATCAAAGTTATCCACATTGCATCTTTAAATAAGGATATAGATGTACAATCTGATTCCTTGTTGTTTCACTAAGTACTCTTTGATTTTGGACCCCGATAATATTGCCATCGCGCCCTCTATAGGCCAATTAGAATATTGAAAATGTTGGTCAACCTCTCCGAGTATTCCCTGATCCGCCCCTGGTGTCACCCTGGTGTACATGTGTCCAGTCTTGGTGTCACTCAGACACATGGTCTTGTCTTGTCGTGCCACAAAGACACAATCCTGTGTTCAGTATTAGTTTCACCAAGGCACATGACATCAGTATTCGTGTCACCCAGACACATGTGTCCAGTACTATGGACGGGTGTTACATAAAATAAGTAAACACAATGCATATACAGAGTGTGAACATTTGACGTGTGATGCCAATTACCTTTTCAAAATATAGGCCACCGAAAGTAGACTCGTATTCCAAATACAGACACGTTCAACATGATGTTGCTATGCAAAACCTTTCATGTTTTTCATTAAAACACACCGTTTTAATTGAAAGCATACTGTTGTACTCTGTTAGAAAAAAGTGGAAAGTGTAATTTGTGTAATAGGGCCAGCGTCGGCAGCTGTTTACTACATTGATATTTGCAGCGGCCTCCATTCATTTCTTTATGTGCGGGATAACTGTATCACGGGGTAATTCTTGTCTTCGGGGTTCTCCACACGTGTCAGGGGGGAATATCGTCTCGTCTCTCTATCGCGTCCCCTTGAGGTGCGGGATCGGGAAAGTCACTTAAGCTTTACAGTCAAATAGACGCACACAACAAAATACGTTTCAACTCTCGTCTTTAGTCAGTCAGTCGAGTACTCTATAAGACACAGCGCCCTGGGGAAAAGTCCCCAACACTATTGCAAGGCTGACCCAAGACTAGCCCAAGACTGCGTCTGGACTCGCCCCAAGACTCTCTAGGACTGTGCCAAGACTGCGTCTCTCCTCGTGTACTCGCCAGGACCAACTAAAACTCTCTTTATTCACTTTCAAAACCTTAACCAATTACAAAGAAGTATTACGACTCTAAGGCGTGGCCTTCACACATTCAACTAATCACACTAAGTACTGAACACGTCATATCTTTTGATTAATCGTTCACTACATTAATAACTGCGAATACCAAACTGTCAGAAATAATAGTCCGAATAGCGACAGTTATATCATCGTAATTAGTTCCAAATCACTGAGTCGAGTTCCGTCCAGAACCTCAAATGGGCCGAAACGATGACAGACATAACACAGCCATTCGCTAGTAATCAGCTAATTAAGTCGATTAACAGATACACGCAAACAATTTCATCACACATCCCTTCACTCAAACTGAGCCATGCCTCCCGGAACAACACGTTCATAAATCAAATATACCGTCAGCTATTCATCGTCATACGGGTTAAATACAATACTAATACAAGGTATAAATCAAAAGAGTAAAACACACTGATTAAATACAATGATTATAAAGTCACAAATATCAACGGTTATGAATCTAAAAACAAGGGAAAGGCTACCATTAGGCCCGCTTTTCTCGTCGATTAACAGATACAACAATTTCATCACAACTGACTAAACTCAAGTTTATGCATTTACAGGGACACAGAATTCCATACTGCATAACGTTCTTGCCAACATCCCCAGAGACATGATCTGAGCTACTAAATAAAATTACAGAAATGTTGCAGAATTTAACAGGAAAATGCAATTAAATTTGTGAGTGGTCATATTTTCATTTTCACATCACATGTGCGTTAGTTTATAACAACAAGAATATTTCACATCTCATATTTCTGATTCGAATACGCATTGCTTGAAACAACATAATAATCAATAAAACATTACTCGCTGAGTATTTTTTTTATAAGTTTACACTTTTCAGATTTTAAGAGATCGAAGCGGACAAGATGATATTGCTAATATTCGAAATTAAATTGTTATTGTTTGTTCAGTGCCCTAGTCCTCTATGCCAAAAGAACTCTGGTTAGGTTTTGAAGTACCACACTTCCCGTTTTAGGGGTGATCGTAAAGTGGTGAAAACGAGCAATAGAACAATTTGCCAGATAGAAAAGTGAAAGAATAATGACATAGAATTAACGTAGTGTATATATACAGATTCGAGAATTGAATGTAATCGCAATAAATTATTTGTTATTTGTTCTACTATGTTTTTCCCAGGAATTTGAAGTGCACGGAGAGACTGCATTAGAGACAACAACACCATATAAAAACAGGTCGGGCACTTCCATTTATGTCAGCGTTGAAAGGGTTTAAAAATGTTATTGTAAATTCATTACTCATCTGTTTTGAAGTGTTAATTATTGGCAGTTGCATTTACATTTTCACAAAAGTTTTGAATTCCCGTAAACACACTTATTAGCTGCACATGTAAGTCAAGAACACTTCTTAATGCGATTGATAATATTATTTACAACATATGTTTGTGTTTTTAAATGTAATAGTTGAACTTACCTTATTAATGTCTATATTAGGAATAAATACTTGATTATGTGATTTATTTATCGTATGTTATGTTTACTGTACAATAATGCAAAGTGCTTGATCATGAAACGCATCATTTGATACATTTTGTTTTCCAAAATGATAATGTCAATGATTTTTTATTTTACCATGTTATCAGTGTAAATACATTTTAAAATGTGTCTCTGTTACAATTCTCAAAATGTGTGTCTAGTGAAATCTCCTAGCAATATTTAAACCAATACTTATCATGAAGTGTATCTTTAGTCCCGTCATGTCGAGTTGACATACTGGTCGCGTCGACCTGTTCACGGGCATGTATTGCTCTTAAGTCAACACAACTTTTAGGTTATTTGCTTTCCCTCTATGATGCTGATGTAACTATGCACGCCGTTAATATTGCAAGACTCTGCTGAAACAGCAAAACTTTTACGACAATCATATTATTGACCTATATTTTTGGATATATTAATTTGGGTTTACTAAATAAGCAGTACCTAACAGCACCTCACTATAATATAGTTTTGTCACACAGACACATGCGTCACTCAAGTACATGTGTCCACTGTTGGTATCACCCAAGCATATACATGTGTCACCTTAGCACCAATGTACCAATGGCATCCAGTCGTACGTTTTCAGTATTGTACCACCCATATTAAGTCTTGGTGTCACAGAGTTGCATGTGTAGCCTTGGGAGTCACTCACATGTACCTAACATTAGTGTCACCCAGCACACGTGTCGAGACATAATGTCGCCATATATGTACACTCTTGGTTTTATTATGAGACATGAGTCTTTGTTTCAGACAGCCACTTGTGTCTAGTCTTTGTGTCCCAAGGTACCTGTGAAGAGTCTTTGTGTCACAAAGTACCTGTGAAGAGTCTTTGTGCCACAAGGTACACGTGCCAAGTATTGGTGTAACCCAGACAGATATTTTAAAGATTATTGTCCCCCAGACACATGTGAACAGTCTGTGTGACAGAAAGTACTTGCAGTCTTGCTCTCATACAGAGAACAACCCT